GGTGACAGTTCCTCCAGTGCAGAGAGTAGGGGTAGGGGGGTTGCATTTTCACTGAATGGCATGAAACTGGATTAACGTGTTAGTTTATATGGTGACTGTGCAGTCACGTCATGGCATTGTGACCTTTAACAATCAAGTCTTTTGTCTGCACAGAGGCGATGGATGAGTGGAAATCTTACATAAAGCGCTCTGTGCTTTGTACATGGGAGACACCCACTTCTGTGCTAAATGTGGAATATAGTTTCATGTGCCCGTGCTTTGCCTAATAAAATCTGGCAGCTATATCTGCTCCCGAGGGATGTGTATCTTTTGGCAAGCATCTGATTAAATTAGCTTTTGATTGCTTGGGCAGGCCGCCAGCACTAGCAGACGCAAATATGAAACACAAATGCTTCAGGTTTGATGGACATGTCAGCATGTTGCAGCTGTGTGGTGGTGGTATCCAGGCAGACAAGTACCAGGATAGATCACGCTGACACTGACCCAAGTGTTGGCTGCCGACTGAATACACAAAGCCTACAACTGTGGCAGCAGCGTGGTTCAGGAACTGCAGGGTATCCCAAAAGCTCAGACCCTTCCTTAGTCTGCTCTCTGCCTGCGTCACCGTCAGCCCTGCTGGGATTCCCCCATGGCTCCGGCCCAGGCAGTGAAGTAACTTGTGAGGTTTTTTTTTTCCTGCATTTTTTGGCAGGATAACAGAGTTGAAGCCCCACGTGCCGCACAGGCCCTTCAGAAATGTAGCTTTTGGCACAGGAACAGCTGAAAGTCAGCCAAGCCACGCTGCTTCCCACTTCTTTTAATGGCAGGAAAACTTGTGGTGTGCAGACAGCGCTCGCATTCACTGTGATACAGCTCATGCTGATGTTTACAGGTGGGTTTTTACTGAAATATTCAAGTGACACAATGTAGGCCTTAAGCCAAAGCCCGCACCCTTAAGCCTTGCAGGGTCATTTGAATGCAGTGACAACATAAAAAGCAACCTTTATAAGCCTGTAGAGGATTACAGTTTGATAATAAGAAAACAAGCAGACGTCAGACCTGTTTGTCTCGTCTGTGGCTGTTTGTCTGTCATTAATTCACAGCCACTAGCTAGTTTAGTGGCCAACTGCCAACTGACTGCCACTCACTCAGCCATGATTTGCAGGAGGCAAAATGAGCGCGCTATTTGCACATTACACTAACCCCTTCCAAAATGTTTTTCAAATACCCTCGAGCAGAGATCAGGCATCTTACAGGAAGCTGTGTGGATTTGTGCTTTTAAAAGGTTTCAGTGACAACACACGCCTTTAATCTTGATATGTACACTGAACAAACACACTAGGAGGTGTGAATCTACAAACAACAAACTGAGAACTCTAAGGGATGGACATGACTTGTATACACAGAAGCCTTTTGTGTGGACAGGAGTTGGTTTTTAATAAAAGATAAACACATAAGAGGACACAGGTTTTGATATGTGAAGAATGAGAAGGCACAGCAAATACTGTCCCTATGTCCAAACTCAGATAGAAGTAGACAGTCATGGAGGACGGCCAAGCAGCAATACATGTGTCCGCTACGACAAGATATGAAATTGGGGCTATCATTAAATGTTCCCCTCTGATATGATGGGAGTTTCTTATTGACTGGAAAAAACATTCGGGAAAGTTAAAAAAAAAAATAAAAAAAATAAAAATGATCAAACTAGGGCTACAAATTCTGTTTATTATTGATTTATTTTAACAATCTGTTCATTTATCTTAGAAGTAATTACTTAAAATGACTTATTCCTTATGATCAATGACCAATCAATCTTGTTGGAGAAGCTAGAACCAGACAGTATTGGGCTTTTTTTCGTGATAAATAATTGATGATGATCAATTATTGAAACAGTTTTTTGCTGACCAACAGTTTCAGCACTACACTAAATTTCTATACAATAAAATTTTCCATCAGCTGTGACAAACTTTAGAAATACTAATAAAGCTAATGCACTTGTTAAATCGGTAAAGACATAATAATCGAGCTGTATCAAAATGGTTTAACAACTAAAATCCTACAACATGTGAAAACACAACATATTATTTTTATACTGCCACTTCTTCAACTCCACCCTTTGATGGGAAAGTATACAAAAATACGACACATGCGTCAGTTCTTCTAATCAAGAGAAACCACAAGCGTCTTTATATAAACCCGCTTTCATAGCCAGCAGTGTTACTTATTAGGGCCAGGCCACATTATGCGAAAGCAAGGGGAGAGAGGCCTTTTAAGATCTGAACTTGATCACCGGCCATACGTTTCTAATCCACAACGTAAACGCACCCCCGCACCACCACCACCACCACCAGCAGCAGCAGCAGTATCTCCATCGGACACACTGAGCCGGTGCCGGCCACAGGATACCATATGCCAGATTGGGCCAAACAGATTAGTGTGTCAACTTCTGGGCAAGCCTCTAAGGTGATTGGAGGATGGTGGGGTGCAGGGTGCAATGAGGGCCTGGAAATCTCTCTTAAAGAATTTCAGGGCTTAATAATCACACTGGGAAGCCGGAGGTGCCAAATTCCACAATTTACCATTTCGCACTTTCTTTTTGTGCACCAGCTATAACTTTAAACTTCAAAATGATGCCTGGTTTCCTGCCCAAGTGGGTGGTAAGGGACCAGGTAGGCTCCAGCATTCGACCCAGTGCCTGGTGGTAAATCCTCCTTTCCCCATAAAAATCTAAAAGTAAACTTCCAAAGGAAAAGACGCTCCGGATCTCCCTCTTCACCCTGTTCCTGTCGTTCAGATTTCTGGTTTCAAAATGTCATTTCCTCATTACTTTGTGCAGTCACAGCGAACCCAAAATATACCAGAACACATTAAAATAAACCTTCATTGTGCAAAGGGACATTTCATAACATGTCTTCCTGTCAACTCGCGGCAGAATGAAACATATCGTCCATTACCTTATATTCTTGTAACAAAAACAGCTGAGGTTTGTATCATGTATCTATTTTTGACACTACAACACGTTTTTTTTTCCATCTCATGAAGGTAAAAAGCCTCTGAAAGCGCCTTTATGTCAGACTAGGACGATGAAAACCTCCAATGAAACCAGACTTTCTAACTGTTTTCAGAGCATAAATGTCTAAGGTCATTAAGAAGTGCTATACGAGGCTTTAAAACCAAACCAGCTTCCTGTGCCTGTACGCCCCCCACCAACAACAACTATTTGGTAAGAAACTACAACACCAACCACAAACCAAGTGACTTTTGGTTGTGGCTGTGAGGTTTGTAAGCCCGATGCAACCAAACCAGACAAGAACATCTAAAGCTCTTCCTGAATCCACTTGGTATGAAGAAAAGTTTCCTCTTTTAATGTCCGCTGACGTCATTTAGAGGGAATACACTGGCAGCTTTTCCCACCACCCTGCTGTAGTAGTGAAGGCAGCTCATTGTGTCCGTATCACTTCCCCTGACATACTGGACTTGATCTCAGCCACTACCAGATGATGACAGACTCTTTTATCCACCTACTCCACCTTTGTTTTCCACTTCCACAAAAATACCAACTAATAACAACTAAAGTACAATTGGAGACTTAAGTCAAATCCCACTGGTTGGATGTTAAAATGGAGGTAGATCTGCGGCTGTGTTGATCCTTAACTGTTTTTTTTTTTTTTTTTTACATCTTTACACAAACATGTAGGCGGTTTTATGTGTGTTTAGCTCCTGAACGGGAATGAAATTGACATAGTCCTGTCGTTGGACCTGATGTGGACAGCCCTACCTAAATCAATATTACCTAGGGCTGCACCATTAATCGAAATATTATTGAAGTCGCAACATGCAAATGGCAGATGCTGCAGTTTATTGATAAGGGTAGCGAGAGTTGCCATTGGAGATCCCCAGAAATCATCATTTTAATAGGGTTTTTTTCCCCAGTTGATTTGTGATGCAAAAATGAACTTCCCTGCACTAATCACGAACTGTAATATCTGTCAAAATAACCGCAATATGATGTTTTTACCGTATCATGCAGCCCTAATATGACCATGTTTTTTTGTATTAATAATGTAGTGTAGCAAAAACACATAGAAAGCAGCTTCACATCCATTCATAAAGCCACTTCTTTTGGTTCTGAGTCATCCTACTGTCCCCCTAACATGACATTTTGTCAGACCAAACTTTCTTTAACGCCCAGTCGTTGATGCTGTCACATGCAGTGGCTTTTATATCCAACTGAAAGGGCAGCAGGACGTACTGTAACGTTAGTGGATGTTTAATGGCGTTGGAAAAAAAAATCAATTTGTACAGGACGTGCTGTCACCTCAATGAGCCAAATCATTAAACAACAACAACAACAACTCCTTAATTAGCAGTTTAGCACACAAATCTTTTTGTAGAAAACACGAGCAGCTGGTGTATCCGACATTGGCCTCTAGCTAAGATAATGCTGTGAATAATCAGCTTGTAATATTAGCTAAAGTAGCTGCCAAGTTATGGTTTTACGTTGTGTGACAGCGCTCCTTCTAGAATCGAATTAACGGTCGGAATTCGAACCGTTAATTCGGTTTTAAAGTTACCGTTCGTTTTGAAAGCTCGCAGTTCGATACGATCTCGCTCGCGACACACAACGTTCTTTTTTTTTACGTTTCTCAAACGTTACATTTGAATAAAAACTCGGTGTAACCGCCGAAGAAACCTTGTAGAAAAATCAAACACCGGCTCTTCCGTTAGATTTTTTTTACTACAAAAAAAAGCCATTAAAAATAAAATAGTGCCATTACACGCAGCGTAGGTTGAATTACCAACACTGGGTGACATACGGCAGGTGAGTTCATCCGCTACCTTAGCTATACAGTATTGATTAGGCGATTTGATAACGCCATATCGATCCAAAATAAAGAAAAGGCTGCGTCCTGTAAGTGAAGAGTAAAACAAAAAGCAGCAGAAGGAGGAAGCCACACAAACGAACATCAAGCACACACACATAAATACGGCAAACGAAAAATAAAGAGAAAACAACTTACCACGTCGGCTTCCGTTCCGTTTTTACACTCTTTGGAACCGGAAGAAACATTCCTGTTTTTTTCCCCAGTCTGTGAACGCGGTCTCTTCCCCCCCACCGCCACTTCGGGTTTACGCACCGGGGAAAAGGCACCAGAAAGAGGAAGAGGAGAGCTGGTTCGTGTGTTTATCGGCTGCAATTAAGCTGGGTTCATGTGACTGCATGATAGCCACGCACTCGGCTTTTGCGTGTAATTGCGTTTTCAGAGTATTTTTTTTTTTTTTTATTGAGTGTTCTTCCTGTTCGTTTTGTTTGGAGACCTCTCTCTCGCCAAATCGCCTCAGAAAGCAGACAGATGCAGAGACAGACAGAGAGAGACAGAGAGAGAGAGAGAGAGACCAGAGCGGTGGAGACACTCCCGGGCGCGTGCAACACGTCAGCATCAGGTTGGTCTGACCAAATCAGTAATCAATGCAAATTCCAAGTAACCTCTGAAGAGTCAGCAGGCGGCCCAGACGAAGAACCACCACTCACAGCGCCTCCCTTCCCCAACACACACCCTGGCCACGAGCAGGCGCGCGGACGTGCGGTAAATCTGGGGGGGTGTGAACTGTATAACAGTGGTGTATCAAAGAGTGCAAAAACAAAAGAAGAAAAAAAAAGAAGATACTTTTATTTTGCTACTTTGTGACAAATATTCAGAATTCCTTTGCATTATTATTCCACTAAAAGGTTTCTAAAAATATCCAGAGTTTGAGCCACATTTAGAAAAAAAAGAGGACAAACTGCAAATACTAAATTGCCTGCCACACCAGCTTCTTGGCTTTTTCAGGTTTGTTATTGCTGTTAATGTCATATTTGTGTTACATTGTCCTATTTATTAGGGTTTGTGATTGTACAAATATGTACACATTCATGCATTTAAGCTGATTATTATTATTGGTTTTATAACTGTTAATATATGTTTGTTTTGGCAATATAAGCACTGTTTTTTCATTCAGACATGCTGTCAAAAGATGATCCAAAGAGCTCAAACTGACTTTTATCTCCATATACTAAACAGATAAACTCCTTTTTTGACTGTATCCACTTAAACAGAAACAGATTGTCTGTGAAACTGGATGAAATATGGTTCACAAACAATGTATTTTATCTATTTTGTTCATCGGTGAATCATTTAAAGTAAAATTTCAAGCAAAAGTGACAAAACATTTAGTAGTTTCAGTTTTCAGTTTTAAATTTTCCTACAATTTAATCAAGAAAATAATCTGCAGTTTAATCAATAATGAAACCAGCTGTAAGCTGCAGCCCTACAAATTATGTTTATTCATTTCCTGATTTTTAATGTTTTATTGTTTTCTTTCTTATGACATACTTTCACATCTTTGAACCTCTAAAGTTATTCAAACAAAATTATCTTTTTTATATTAATATAAATTAATACATTGTAAACTACAGTGTTTATACTGAAAACTGTGTTTTGTTTACATTTCTCCTTTTAGTGTTGACTTTTGGTAAAGACTTGTTCAGTGATGGCGTCAAAAAATAAGCTTAAAAGTGAAAAGTGAATTTAACCAGCCCTTTAATATTACTGACTAGTTTTTTTTAATCTATATAACTGATGCAGTGTCATTTCATTTATACACTACAACACTGATTCTGAAAATATGAAGGTGGTAAAGTGGTTTATTTAGCTGATGGGAACTCATCTCACTTTAAGGTGCTAACTGAATGAATGACTTAAACTGGGATAAACTGATTATTAATACCAAACTTGTGATGGAAACTGACAGTTCTCTTATTAGACGCACAGTTGGAGAAAATATCTCAATGCAGCCGTCTGGTTTTGAAATGAAATCACTGAAACCTAAAAGAACATCTGAAATCCAACATAACTCAAATTAAATGAGCTCTTTTTTTCAGTTTAATTGAAGATAAAACCTGTGTTTAGGTGTCACACAGTGAAACACAAGGACTAATTATACATTTTATAGTGGAACTGAAGATAAACCACAATGCAAACAAAGGACTGGTCCATTCACGGAGACCAAACTGGAGTAAAAACCACACATTTTAAAGAGAAAACTGACTCAGCCACAGTTAAATAAACTCCAGTCTTTTCTGTCCTCATCCCCACTGACTGCTCGGTCGCTGGTTTGCAGCTGTTTTCTTAAAAGAGATATTTAAAAACACCCAAATGATCCTCCCTCTGCCTCATCAGGCGTAATGGGATCCAGGAGAGGAGTGTGCTGACACCGTGGGGAATAAAATTAAAATCAAACGTGGAGGGCCGCGGACTCTCTGCGGGCGATGACAACCAATAATTTCACATATGGT